GTTTCTCACGATTTCTGTACGAGTAAAATAACGTCCCTGTTGAAAGTAAGTTGTTAGCCTGAAGTCTGGACCCAAAATCTCCAAAGAATCCTTTAGAAGGCCCAAATCTCTCAGCAAATCATTAAACCTTGTGTGAAAAGTTGTGGTTAACTAGATGTTTCACGTTGAAAACAATCCCTATCATAATTTCTATTGACATCAGATTCAGAATCAAATGAAACTATATCAAGAGTCTTCGGTGGAGTAGGTACAGGTACATCAGGTCCATGAGCAACATGTCTTATAGCAGACTGAAGGTTCGGATAAGAAATTTCCTTTTTATTTTGAGTGTTGTAGCCTTGTAGATTACATAAGCAAAAATAGCAGTCATCTCCATGGTTTCTAGGCTCCTGCCAGACCACTGGAATTTCAAAAGCCAAAGACTTTTTCTTACCTTTAGTCCATTGTCTTAACTCTTTGACATAAATGATGCAAACTTTGTGTGGAGCCTATGATTTGTCTTGAACCCCAAGTTTTATTCCAAAATACACGCAATACGCTTTTTTGATGAATTCTGTAATGTTTTTCTTTTGTTTGTTTACAACAAATTTACTGCAAATATAACAAAATGTTTAGATCATTTACACAACCTCTTGTTGCTATAGCAATGGATAAATAATAATGAAAAGGAAAGAAATAATGGCAAAGTGCATGCCCAAACAAATACTATCCAGAAATGATATATCATGCAGTCTGTTAACTGTTTATATACTAGCGATATATCTCTCACGGGTTCTAAAAAGATTGATAAGACTCTCATGTCCTGATTGGTCTAGAGAGATCTATAGCCATTGGTTGTCAACATTTTAAGTGTAACAAAATGTTACCCGACTTCAGTAAAAATGATTCACTTATGTAAATGTACATATGATGTTTTGTGAAAAATCTATGAGATGGAGAAAAATGGATATCATTTTCGGATTAAGAGTACAGGAATTACTGTAAAACATAAAAATTTCAAGACAATAAAACCATTGCAGGCCTGTGTAATTAATATCAACTTCCAATCACAGCAAGGTCACTTTTTTCAGTGAAACTAAAAATCAACTACTACACGCTTTTTTTTACTTTAATATATAAAATTGGTCTCATTAACTTATAAGTTACTCTTTGGTTCTGATTTAAAGTTTACTTTTGATTAGTGTTGTTACTAGTATATGTTACTGAACATGAATCACACAGATAATTCATGTTATTACAATATTTTAACAATAGCCAAGTTCTGGGTAACTAGATAAAAAGTTAAACTAAAATTGAGCAAGTAAGACTATAGATTAATTTTCTTTCTTCCTCTAAACTTGATAAGAAAATATTTAGAAAGTTATGAAAGCAAATTAATCCTCTAATATTCTGGCAGTGCCTAATCTCACTTAAGTGAGAAAAAGTTTATATGCTACTTACATTCCATTATCCACTGATGAATTGTGATATATGTTGGCTGCAGCAACTTTAATAACATTCTATGTAATAGGAAAACACACCATCAGTACTTAGGTAATAGTATTGATACAAATATCACACAAGTAATATTAAACATTAAAGCTTTCAAAAACTGAGATCCTCAGCAAATTCACTAAATCTTTCATAAAAGAAGTAGTAAACTGAAAGTATCAACACTACCTCTATGCAAACCTTAGATTAATAAATATACTTCACCATTTCCTTTTTATTACTACCATTTTACTTTTAACTTAACTAAAAAAAATAAATGTTAAGCCAAATCTATCATTTTATTTACCACTTGCCACCGGATTATACCAGTTCTTATATAAAGTCCTATATAAATATAGAATTACAGTGTGAGTAAAAGACATTTCAAAACACTAAACACATAATTTTCCCCTTAACTGTTCCAAGTACCATAAAATTAGTTAACAATAGTCAGCAAATTGTCTGTTCAATAACAAGAAATTTATTATGTAACACATCGACAAGACTATTTGATCCTTCAAAAATGTTCTTGCACACCAACCTTTGAAAAAAACTACAAACTTAGAACAACCCTTTATTACTCAGAAAAGTATCAATTCCACTTTTAAGTTCTTGAGAAGTACCAACCATATGGCATCACTCTGTTAGAAAAATTAAACTGTTTTAACTGAAGCTTATCCTGTCTTTTCCAAATGAGCTTGTATCCTCTCATTTTCAGGCCTATTCCCTATGGATCATCTTGCAAACTTATACAAGATTGTCTCTTACGGTTCTTTTCTCATAGAAAATAAGTTAAGAGATTTTAACCTACATCCATAAAAAAACATTTTCATTTTTGAATCATCCTAGTAGCCCTCTGCTTGAACTGATTTCAATAGGTCAATATCCTTTCTCAGATTAGTTGACCAAACTTTGATAGATCGTTTTGGCAGAGTATTCATGATGAAACTTTGTAGAATGGACAGCAACTGCCTGTTGTACAGACACAAGTGTAGAGGAGAACATTTCAAAAGTCTTCTGCCTTTCATCTTCAGGTCAGTGTGTGTGTATGGTGTTGTCAGTCTTAATAGTATTCTGGTGGATTGTGGAGAGGATATATGATTGGTTAGTTTATCCCTGTTTCTGATTGGACAAGAGATTTCCTGTAGATTCAACCAATGGTAGCAAGCAGGGGAGATAAATGGTGGTAGTAGTTCACAGTATTACAAGTAAAGAAAAACTGATGATTTTATAGAAAAAAACTTTTTTTTCAACTTGTAATCTATGTTTCTATAAATACATCATAAAATCTTATTAACTTTGCCATTAGCAACAGAGCACTACCTTAATGGTTTGATTGACTTATCCACCATTATACCTAGTTAAGTTTCTTCAGTCATGCTATTGAATGGGCTGTGATCCAAATTATGACAACCCAAGTGCCTTATAATTCACTTACTATACCTAAAAGTCATTTGCCAAATATTTTTCCAGCTAACAAACTAACTGAAGTTACTCTATAGTACCTCAACATCATCAATATGACTAGAAATACCCTTGAGTTTAATGTCAACTGCAAACTTTACCAGATATACCACTATTAATTTTACTAATGTAAATAAGAAAAATCAAGTGCTGTTCCTTGAAGCTTTCCACTATTAAATTCTAGTAACAAGGGTCAAATTTTACTGTAATCCATTAACAGTAACTTTCTTCTTTCTCTCTTCCAATCACCCTACAATCCAATTTATAGTCACTCCCCCAACTTGGGCCAAGTAAAAAAATTACATGTTTAGCATCTCTACCCACTCACTTCCCACTGCCTCTCCCCACTTTTTTGCAATCTTCTACCTTTTTTGAATTATCATTTTTCAATCATACAAAGAAGACTTCTGAATAAAAAAAATTAGATAAACAAAGTTGATTCACTTTGCCCTTTATTATTTGTCATAAATTCTGTATCGTTTTGATGAAAAAATGAAACAAAGACTTCTGTTTGACATATACTCTTTGAAAACAAGCAGCTATCATGAAAAATGGGTGTAAAACTTTCTTCCAAAAAGGTAATTTCAAGAGCACCTCCTTCCTTTTTTGAAAACTCCATATGCTAAACATTTTTTTTTTACTTGGCCTTATTTTCATTTGACTTTATATTTCACAAGGTGGATTTGCAAAGCTTCTCTTTAACAGATTCAAGTCTTCCTACTGCAGAAGTAAGACTACATAGCCTATATTTCCAGAGCAACTCTTTTGAGTCTTTATCAGTGATAATATCACTTCCTTCAACAATAAGTGTAACATTAACAATTCTAAAATCCTCAGACACCTGCTCATTGTTTACTACCATTAGTCTCTCTTGTAAAAACAGATGAGAACATTTAAAACTTACAAATTAATAATCTTTAACAAAAGCTTTGCCACCAACATCTTTTAAGGACCCTATTCCAATTTTAGCATCATGCTTACCTTTAACATACTTAATAAAAATTTAGCTTTTACTTGATGTTAGTTTTAACCTGGTCAGCCATCTGTTTTTCATAAGTTAACTGTAGCTCCAAGAACAGAATGTATTTACACCTGGATTGACTTTCTATAGCCACATATTGGAGTACATTTTCTAGTCTACTTTCTAGTGCATACAAGTTTATAACTTATTATTACTATTAGTCACTGATACACTTAGGCTTAGTAATAGTAATACTGTAACTTATAGACTCTTGTTATAAATTAGAGGTAACTTAACTGACAGTATTACTGAGTGTTAGTGAAACCACAATAAAGTTAACATTGCTCTGAAAAGTGAGAATGATTATTGATAATGAAACGTACAGCAAAATCTTCTTTCAAATGCCAAATCAGTCCTTTTACTTTCGCAACATTATCGAACTTTGCCTCTGTTGAAACACCTTGTTGATGCTGTGGGTGTGACTGTTGTTGTTGAGAAGCAGAAGTAGTGTTGGGAACTGTAGACGATGTACTCAATCCACTTTGTTGTACAGATCCTTGCGTCGCCATCTTGAATGTATTATTACCCAGCGATATCAAAATGAACGTTCGGTCTTTGCTTTAAATTTCTTTTTTATTAAATCGAAACACTTAACTTGTTTTATATAGAAATATATGTAATATAAATATTTTAATTATATATATATATATATTCTTGATTCTAAACGGTTTTTAATGTGAAAAAACATATTCTAAGCAAATCTGTTACGTATCTGCTTGTTTGTTAATTTCCCAAAGAAATTCTTTCCGACAAACTTCAGCGATACGAGTTCTTTCTTAATTAAACTAGTTTATTCTTTCTCGTTACAAACTTTGTAATACACTTAATTTCCACAGTGACTTTCACTTAAACACACGCTATCATTCACAACGATTCACGCACTTTACTTACGGTCACCATCGCTCGCTTGACTCAGTTATCTCTGTCTTCAATCTACTTATCTGCAATTATGTCTCCGCTTTATTTGCCGGTCTTATATACAAAAAAGAGGCCGCCT